AGTAGCAGAGAGAGAGGGAGACACAGAATCTGAAGCAGGCTCTAGGTTCTGAGTTGTCAGCACAGAGCCTGACGTGGGACTCGAACTCATGAACTATGAGATCATGACCTGAGCCAAAGTCACCCAACCGACTGAGCCACCCGGGTGCCCCAGGTATAGTTGATTTATGACACTGCTGAAATCCCCTGTTTTCTTTTTGACGTTCTGACCAAATGTTCTATCCATTGAGTGTGATGTTTGAACTCTCCAACTATTAGTATAGAACTGTCTATTTCTCCTCTCAATTCTGTTAATGTTCGCTTCTTAGAGATTTTGCCTTCCTGATATCTCTGCTCATTTTTTAAAATGTTTATTTATTTTTGAGAGAGAGAGAGAGAGAGAGAGAGAGAGAGAGAGAGAGAGAGTGTGTGTGTGTGTGTGTGTGTGTGTTTGAATGGGGGAAGGGCAAAGAGAGAGGAAGACAGAGGACCTGAAGTGGGCTCTGCACTGATAGCAGCAAACCCAATGTGGGGCTCAAACTCACAAGCCATGAGATCATGACCTGAACTGAAGTTGGATGCTCAACTGAATGAACCATCCACACATCTGCTCTATTTTTAATCCCATTCTATCTATAGGTTCCTCTGTATCTGCATGGGAAAATTTATCTTCTCTTCAACTCTTAACTCCACACACGTTTCCACTTACCACTCTATCTTTGTCTACCCTTTCACAACAGTTTTTTCTACATTTTTACATGATTTTTCTACTTTCTTATCTTCTACTCAGTCCTCACACAATTGCAATCTAGTTTCTTTCTCTAGTCTGTATTGAAACTGCAGTCAAAATCACCAAATCCCTCATCTTCCCAAAAGAAAACAATTTAATTTTAACAATATTTTATTTAAACATACTGTTAGAGATTAATACTATTTTTCCACTTTTTATGTATCTTCCAAGTGGTGGAAACTTCATTAGAATGACAACTCTGACATTTCTTTGCCCTCGCCCTTACTCATTCTTTTCTTTGCATCTTCCCTTTCTCTTGAAATTTTACCTTCTCACAGAGGCCTGTGCTGTGTCCTACTTTGGTTTTACATAATAAAGGGTTTATGTGTAGATTGAAATAGGACTGCAGTTTCTAACTGGGTGGGATATTGTAGCAAATTCTAGGATTTATTTTTAGGAACACTATTGTCATATTTGTCTGTATCAGATTTGTCAGTAGCAAAGATTCTTTTATTCCCCAGTTTTACAGAGATATTATTGACATATCACATGTAAATTTAAGTTGTACAACATCATGATTTGATACACATATATATTGTAAGATGATTATCACAGTAAGGTTAGTTAACACCACCATTCCCTTACGTGATAACCAGTTTTTTTTTCCTGTGGTGGTAACATTTAAGATTTACTGTCTTAATAACTTTCATGTATACAATACAGTATTGTTAAATATAGTCACAATGCTGTACATTAGATTACCAAGATTACCAGGATTTATTCATCTTATAGCTGGAAGTTTGTACCCTTTGACCAACATCTCCTCATCTCATCCACTCCCAGCCCCTGGCAACCACCATATTACTTTCTTTTTCTATTAGTTGTTTTCTTATATTCCACATGTAAGTGAGAACATAGAGTATTTGTCTTTGTCTGGCTCATTTCACATGATATAAAGCCTTCAAGGCCCATTGTTATTGTACCCCGAGGCAGGATTTCCATTTCTATGGATGAATTATATTCTGTTGTATATACACCACATTTTAATTATCCATTCATCTGTCAATGGACACTTAGGTTGTCTCCATGTCTTAGCTATTGTTAATAATGCTCCAATGAATATGGAGGTAATGATATCTCTTTTGGCATAGTGATTTCATTTCCTTCAGATATATATCTGGAAGTGGGATTACTAGGTCATATGGTAGCTATATTTTTAATTTTTTGAGGAACTTCCATACTGTTTTCCATAGTGACTGAACGTTTACCCTACCACTGTATGCACAGTGGTTTACTGTTACAAGTCTCCCTCTTAGACAGGCTTTTGTTGCATCCCACAAGTTTTGGTATATTGTGTGTCCACTTTCATTTGTTTGAAGATATTTTTAAATTTCCCTTTAGGTTTTACCTTTGATCCATTGGTTGTTCAAGAGTATGTTGCTTAATTTCCATTTATTTGTGAATTTTCAGGGTTTCCTCTTGTTGTCTTCAGCTTAAAGAACTCCTTTTGTCATTTCTTGTAAGGCAGGTCTAGTGGTGATGAATTGCCTCAGCTTTTGTTTTTTTGGAAAATTATTTATCTCTCATTTATGAAAGACAACTTTGCTGGGTAATGTATTCTTGGTTGGCAGTTTTTTTTTTTTTCTTTCAGCACTTTGAATATATCACCCCACTCTCTCTTGGTTTGTAAGATTTCCACTGAGAAATCCACTGGTAGCATTATGGAAGTTCCCTTGTAAGTTACAATCTTATCTTTGCTGCTTTTAAGATTCTGTCTTTGTCAGGGCAGCTGGATGGCTCAATTGGTTGAGTGTCTGACTCTTGATTTTGCCTCAGGTCATGATCCCAGAGTCATAGGATTGAGCCCCATGTTATGCTCCATGCTGAGCATGGAGCCTGTTTGGGGTTTTCTCTCTCCTTCTGCCCCTCTCCCCTGCTCTATTTCTAAAAGAAAAAAAAAAGATTTTCTTTTTGTCTTTGACAATGACAAAGTGCTCTTGAATTTGAGACAATTTTATTATAACGTATCTTACAAAAGCTTGTTTTAGGTTGAAAATTGGGTTACCTATGACCTTCATGAAATTGTATGTCCAAATCTCTTCCCAAATTTGGCACCTTCTTAGCCATTGTTTCTTTATTTTTTAAATTTATTTACAAATTTTTATTTATTTATTTATTTATTTATTTATTTATTTGCTTTTGAGAGAGAGAGAGAGACAGAGACAGAGACAGAGACAGAGCACAAGCAGGGGAGGGGCAGAGAGAGAGGGAGACACAGAATCCGAAGCAGGCTCCAGGCTCCGAGCTGTCAGCACAACACAGAGTGAGGCTAGAACTTACAAACCAGGAGGTAATGACCTGAGCCAAAGTCAGATGCTTAACCAAGTGAGCCACCCAGGCACCCCAAAGCCATTGTTTCTTTCAATTAGATTTCTTCTTTCTCCCTCTCTTTTCATGGGATTCCAATAATGCAGATATTTTTTTTCTTTTAATGCTATCCCCTAATTCATGTAGTATTTCTTCACTCTATTTCATTATACTTTTGTTTTGCTCTTTTTACTGAAAGATTTCAAATGACCTTCAAATGTCTTCTTGTTCACTAATTCTCCTTGGTTGAGTCTGCTGTTGAAGCCCTGTTTTGAATTCTTCAGTTCATTCAATGTTTTCTTCAACTCTAGGATTTCTATTTGGTTTTTAATGGTTTCTGTATCTTTATTTAACTTCTCATTTTGTTTTTGCATTTTTCTCTAATTTCATTTACTTGTCTGTGTTTTCATATAACTCACTGAATTTAAGAGGATTATTCTGAATTCTTTGTCAGACAGTTCATAGATCTGTTTCTGTAGGATCATTGAAATGTTATTAGTTTCCTTTGAGGAAGTCATGTTTCCTTGATTATTCATGATCCTTGTGGCCTTGATTTAGTGCCTACACATTTGAGGAATTAGAATCTCTTCTAGTCTTTATAGACTGCTTCTACAGACAAAGCCCGTCACCAATCAACCCATCCAGAGATTCTGGATAGGCCATCTAGTGGTGTCCATGGTGGGCTTTCTGCTGGACTCTATGTGGGCAGGTCTGGTGCCTTGGTCAGGAAGTGGGCAGGCATCATGTTTGTGTACATGGGGATTGGCCTGTTACCTGGATCCAAGGAGGCAGGCCTGGAGCCTAGGTTCACTGGGGCCTAATAGGCACCAGAGACCACTGGAGTGGGCCTGATGTCTCAGTACACAAGGACCAATCCTATACTGGGAAAAGCTGTGAGCCTGGTTTCATAGGAGCCAGCTTGAAGGCTGGCGCCATTGTGGCTTATCTGGTGCTGGGGCAGGCTAGGCCCCTGGCACCTGGGTATGTGGGAGCTGTCCTTGAGGCTGCACCACAGAGGCTGGCCTGGCGCTAGGGCAGGCTGAGAGCCTGGGTCCATAAGAGCTTGCCTAGAGTTAAGTCTGCAGGGGCTGGTCTGGAACTGGGGTGGGTCAAAGACTGGGTCTGGAGTATCCAGCCTGGTGTTGGGCCCAGCTGAGAGCCTGAATTCATAGTACCTAATTGGTTTCCTTAGGTGACAGGAACTACCTGGGGCTGTGGGAGCTGGCAAGCACAAGGATGTGCTGGGTGCCTGGGCCACAAAGTCATTCCAGGCCTCAGGAGTCAGCCAGCATTGTGGTAAGCCAAGAACCTGGGTTTGCAGTAGACTTCCATGAATATGGGCCCACAGATGCCACGCTAGACCATTGGGGCTGATTATTGCCAGGGTGAGCCAGAAGTCTGAGTTCATGAGAACCCTCTGGGATCTAGGTTCCACAGAAGCCACCCGAAGCCACAGGAGTTGGCAAACACCAGGATGAGTCAGAGGCTTGGGCTTAAGGAAGCCCCCAGGAGCCTGATGCTCTAGGATCTGTCTGGGGCCATGGGAGCCACTTGGGCATGCTGGAGCCAATAGGTAGTGGGATGAGCCAGGAGCCTGTGTTTGCAGTAGCTAATGGGGAGCCTGGTATCATGGGAGATGCCTAAAGCTGTGGAGCTGGTAGGCACTGAAGTGAACTAAGGTCCTGGATTTGAGGGAGCCTGTAGAGAGACACCTAGGGCCTTAAGAGTTGACCTTGTGCTGGGACAGTCTGACTTGGGAGTCTGTGGTGAAGTTGGAAACTCACTTCATTCTCCATTTCCTTTGGGAACACATTCTCTCTCCATCCTCGGATACTGCTTCTTGGGGGAGAGGTGATGGAATTAATGTGAATCTATCTTTCCTACCCTTCTCAACACATCTTTTCTTATTTCTGTGCTTCACCCAGGTGCTGTCATCTCTCAAGTGGAATCCTTGGCTCCTTTGAAGGTATTTTTGTGCATGGATAGTTATTCAAGTTGGTATTTCTGAGGTGGTTGAGCACTAGGAAGCCCTATGCATCTGTTTTGCTAACATCACTCCCTGCTTTATTAATTTTTACTCACGTTATCTAGAGCATGGGTAGGGGGAAAGGATAGGTATTCATTTCATTCCACAAACCCTTACATGTGCATTATCTTAATACATTCTAGTTTCAAAAAATGAACATCATAAAGACTTCTTTGAATGCAACTTCAATCCTTTTCCCCTTCCTAAAGGCAACACAAATTGTCAATTTCTAGAACTTTTCAATGTATTGTCTGCAAACAAAGATATGCAAGTATCCTGAGGATTTTTAAAGTATTAAATTTTATCATAGTTTATGTATTATTCTGAAACATTTTTTTCAGTAGTATGTCTTAGAGATTTTTCCATGTAAGCATATATCTATCTCTTTCCTCTTATGCTGTATCATATTTCATGGTATTGCAGTATCATTTTTGCTTCTCTGGGTGATTCTGAGTAGTCTTCTGGGTCATAGGTACTTTTCATTTTAATAGACATTTGAAATCTCCTTAGAAAGGGATTATATCATTTGAGAGTCCTTGGTTCCCCACACATCCACCAACAATTCTTACTGTTTACATATTTAAATATATCTGCCAATCTGATAGATGAAAAATGGTATCACTTTGTTTTAATTTAAATTTTGCTAATATTGAAGAAAATATAAAAACTCCATTAACTCACAGAAAAGAATCAGATGAGGAAAATGAATTTTCTCTTTAACAAAATGCAACTTAATTTTTTAAGAAGCTAAATGCTTCTTAGCAGCTTTTGGGGGGCTGTGGAAAAGTCTGAAAAAAACATTTTTTTTTCACAAACTTAAGATTCTTAAGACATGCAAAGAAAAATAAGCATTCTAATAGTGCTAATAAATGTGAGAATTTACTATTATGAGTTCTAAGATCTTTTAGTATTTTAATTGTTTCAATTATGTGGAGATTATGTTCAGATAATTATATAAGTCATTAATATAAGTCATCAAAAAGTAGTGTAATAAGTGATGATTTAGCAGTAAGATTACTAAACATTTCTAAAGAGAAAGGACACAAGGGGAAATTATCAACTTATTTATATGTGAGGCAGAATAGAAGGAGAAGTGAAACTTAAAAGCTGACAGTAGTCAAAGATCAAAAAGTGGAGCCAGCTTTTTTGTTACACAGACTATAAAATATCTGTTTTGTTTACCAGTCATAACTAGAAGCATATACACATAGGTTTCCATTGTGATTGAAGCAAAATGTCAATTTTGGTTGATCAAATTTCTTTGAAATATATACTTTTGTTCTGGCATCTTTGTCCCGAAAACTAAATGTACAAGTATACCCTTGAGTTGCAAGAATTCAATAAATCAATGGCATGGATATCTTGAGTAATTCAAATATTGGCCCCATTACATCAATAACAAGGTTTGGCAATTAATATAATGAATACCATGTATTTTCCTTTAGAACTTTTTTAGAGCAAAGCTATTAGGCTTACTCAATTTGGTTTTAAAAGTAGTGACATGTTTAAAATGATACCATCAATAAAGTAAAAAGATGACTCAACGCATAGGAGAAAGTATTTGCAAATTATATATATGATATGGGTCTAGTACCCGTAATATTTATTTATTTTGAAAGAGAGAAAGGGAGAGAGTGTGCATGCATGCATGAGGAGGGCAGAGGTGAGGGAGATAGAGTCCCAAACAGGCTTCACACTCAGCTCAGTGTGGAGCCTGATGCAGAGCTTGATCTCACAACTGTGACTTCATGACCTGAGCCCAAATCAAGAGTCAGGATGCTCAACCGACTGAGCCCACCCAGATGCTCCTATATTTGGTCTTTATCCATGATTCCTGGCTCCCAGCTCCCAGAAACTCTTGGAATTTCCTGAATGATAAGAGCAATGGGGGCATCTTTTGTCATAGTACTTGGTCTCTTGTCCTCAGTTCCTGAACTCCACTTAAGAGCCATTAACATGAAATGGGTGTCATGTTATTTATAACAAGCACTTTTTTTTTTTTATCACAATTGGGTTTATGTTAACGAAGTGACTTTTAGAAAGCACCTAAGGATGGTGGCTGGTTTCAGGGGAACCAGCCCTGTGGTAGAAAGTTGGAACTTTCAGTCCAACCCCCTACCCTCACATCCCACCCCTACCTCCTGGAAGAGGAGAGGGCCTGGAAGTTGAATCAGTCCCCAATGACAAATAATTTAATCAATCATGCCTACATAATAAACCATCCAGAAAGACAGCTCAGAGAGCTTCTGCATTGGCAAACACATGAAGATTCTGGGATACTGGAGCACTGGGAAAACACATGGAAGCTCTACACCCATTCTCCATACTTTGCCCTATGCATTACTTCCATCTGGTTGTTAATGAGTTATAGCCTTTTATGAAAAAAATGGTAATCCAATAAATAAAATGTTTCTATGAGTTCTGTGAGCTGCTCTAGCAAATTAATCAAATTTAAGGAGGGAGTTGTTGGAACCTCCCATCTATATAGCCTGTCAGTTGGAAGCAGATATGGTAATCTGGACTTGAGACTGTCATTCAAAGGTGAGGGGCGTACTGTCTTGTAGGACTGAGCCCATAACCTGTGGGGTCTGATGCTATTTCCACGTAGATAGTGTCAGAATTGAGGTGAATTGTAGGGCACTCTGCTGGTGTCCAAGCATCTCTTACTGGTGTGGGAATCCCTCCCTCCACACACACATTGGAATTGCTGCCAGAATACCTTTATTTTGAAATTAGGAGGAATGAATGCCAACTTACTTTTCTTTTTAAGATTATTTTGTTTATTTGGGATCCCTTGAGATTCCATATGAATTTTAGGATAGATTTTTCCATTTTTGCAGAATATGTCATTGGGACTTTGATAGAGATAGCTGTGGATCTAATCATTCTGTGTAGTGTTGAAATCTTAGCAATGTTAAATCTTACAGTTGATGAACATGAGATGTGTTTCCATATATTTATATCTTTAAATTTGTTTCAGCAATGTTTTGTAGTTTTTAGTGTATGGTCTTTGGTCTAATTCATTGTATTCTTATGTATTGTGTTCTTTTGATGCTATTGTAAATGAAATGGCTTTTGTAATTTATTTTTTATTTTATTTCATTTTATTTTTTAATGTTTATTTTTGAGAGAGAGAGAGAGAGAGAGAGAGAGCACATGGAGGTGGAGGGGGGGCTGGGGCAGAGGAAGGGATGGGCAGAGGATCCAAGCGGCTCTTGCTGACAGCAGAGAGCCAGATGCAAGGCTTGAACTCACAATCAGAAGTCAGACTCTTAACCGACTGAGCCATCCAGGCGCCCCTCTTAATTTTTTAGATTGTTCATTGTTATTGTATAGAAAGGCAACCAATTTTTGTGTGTTGATATTGAATCTTGCAACTTTGCTGAATTTGTATATTAGCTTTAAGATATTTTTGCAGAATCTTTGGGGTTTTCTTTTTTTTTTTAATGTTTATTTATTTTTGAGACAGAGAGAGACAGAGCATGAATGGGGGAGGGTCAGAGAGAGAGGGAGACACAGAATCAGAAGCAGGCTCCAGGCTCTGAGCTGTCAGCACAGAGCCCGATGCGGGGCTTGAACTCACAGACAGCGAGAACATGACCTGAGCCGAAATCGGACGCTCAACCGACTGAGCCACCCAGGCGCCCTGGGGTTTTCTACATATATGCCATCCATGTGAGCACAGATCATTTTATTTCTTCCATTACAATTTAGGCCCCTTTTATTTCTTTGTCTTTACTTGTTGTTACAGCTGAAACCTCTAATACTACAATAAATATAATTGGAGAATGTGGACATCCTTGACTTGTCATTCATAAAGAAAAAGGTTTTAGTCTTTGACTATTGAATATGATGTTTAGATGTGGGCTTTTCATATATGGCCTTTATTCTCTTGAGGATGCTTCCTTCTATTCCTGGATTCTCAAGTGTTTTGATGAAAGGGTGTTGAATTTTGTTAAGTGCTATTTCTACATGAATTGAGATGATATGTTTTTTGCCTTCATTTTGTTAATGTGGTGTGTTGCAGTAAATGATTTTTGTATGTTGAATCACCCTTAAATTCCAGAAGTAAACACCAATTGGCCATGATGCAGAATTCATTAAATTATGCTGCTGAATTTGTTTTTTTTAGCATTTTGTTGGAGAATCAACATCAATTTGCATTAATATTATAAAACATACTTGACAATAATTTTCTTTCCTTCCATTGTCTTTCTCTGACTTTGGTACCAGGGTAATGCTGGCTTATTGGAATTTTAGGAAGTGTTACCTTCTCCATTTTTTGGGAAAAATTTGAGAAGATTTGCTTTAATTCTTTTACTGTTAATTCAGTAGTAGTGAAGCCATCTGGTTCAGGGTGATTTTTTTTTTTTTTTTTTTTTTTG